ACTCAGGACTAACCTGGCTGACCGGCGGGGCAGGAATCTTCAGCGTGCGCCTGCCGTGCGAGTAGGCGGTGGGGGCTCCGGAGAGGACTGCCCGGGCAGCCGAGGCTGGCTAACCGGTCTGTAGGAAACTGCGGCTGTTTTCACATAACCCATACGGTCATGTTGGTACGTACAGTTGGATCTCGGTCCAGCCGTGGTGCCTGCCCTTTTGTCTGTCAGCACCCCCGCCTCCTCCTAAGACTTGTTTTTCCCCACGTACACAATCGTGTGTCTCCACAGGAGCTGCCGTTGACTTTCAGACCTCTTTTCCTGAGCGACAGAGTTTGGACTTGGGTAGAGACGGGCCACAGGTTGCGGGGACTGTTACTCATCTTCGTCGCCTAGCTCAGTCTGAAATACAAGTAGGCACTCGACAGAAGCGTTTAAGAAGGATTGGACACATACTTCGTTTCCTTTGATTCCACTTGCACAATTTCTGCAGCCGTCTCGCTCTGCTGTAATGCAGTTTTGTCCTGTTTTAGCAGCTTATTATCAGTTGACTTAGGTATGTGTCTTACTCGATGTATTGGACAAATTTAAAGAAGTTGCTGGCAGCGGTGCTATGATAGTCAAGATTCATGTTTCCTTTTTTTTTTTTCTCCTCCTAGAAGAGCATTTATAAACTCCAAGGTTCTTGGAGTTTGCCCATTTCACAAGGCTATTGTCAGTTTTGAGGCAAAGGATGTACTTGAGCTTTATAAATTCGAGACCCGCCTGGGCAGCGAGACCTCGTCTCTACAATAAGTCAAAAAATCAGCCAGGCGTGGTAGCGCGTGCCTGTAATTCCGGCTACTCGGAAGGCTGAGGCGGAAGGATCGGCGGGGTCCAGCAGGTCGAGGCTGCGGTGGCCGGGAGCGGCCACTGCACTCCCGTCTGGGCGACGGAGTGAGACTCCAACTCAAAAAAAAAAAAAAAAAAGAAAAAGAAAAAAAATTTTAAAGTTCTGAACAAATGTCTGTTGATACTTTTTTTAATTCAATGGGAAATCGTTGAGGACCTACGATGTTCTGATCACAGTGTTTGCCATGATTCCTCAGTCCGGTATTGATCAAAGGTCCAAAGAGCAGGAGCCCGAAGGCAACACCTGGGTGTGCAAGAGATGATGCTGATCAAGTCAGAAGTAAAAGGGATTCAGATACCAGAGGTCCTAAGGTCTGAGTATCAGACAATTTCTGAAAGAGACAACTCTAACTTTCTCTTGATGGCTGGAATTATAAGCAATGTCAGAAGACCACTGTCCTCTTCCTGGAGTAATAATTTCACTGTGTCCAAAGGGTGTCAGAATCATCTAGTATATATAAGAGAAAAAAAGGAAGAAGTGCAAGTGTGAATGTTGTCATTCCGATAAATGCTTGGTCCAGAGTGACTCTGCATTCCTGTATCAGTTAATTTTTTGTTGTTGTAAGAAACAGAAACTAATCCAAAGTAGCCTGAAAAAGAAAAGAAAAAAAAGGGGGGGGGGGGGAGACTTATTATAAGGAAACAATGGTATCTGATAGATGCCACGGCAAGAGTGTTCTTGGACCTTGGGAAAAGCCTAGAGCTAGTAACTGAAATGAAGCTGGAATTCTTGCTCCAAATCTGTTTCTCTGTACACATCTACCACATTCTTCTTCATCTGTTTCTCTGATCCACATGGCAGTTAGTATCCTTAGTGTAAAATATGTGTATCTTTAATTCCCTATTACTGGGATTATTCCAGCACAGGCTAGATGACCATCATTTGAAACTGTGGTAGAAGGCATGTCCTTGTTGAGTGATGGAAGGGAAGTTAGAACAGATTATATCTGTGGGCTCTTTTATGTTTTTTGTTTTGTTTTGTTTTGTTTTTTGAGTTAGAGTATCACTCACTCTGTCACCCAGGCTAGAGTGCAGGGGCACACTCACGGCCACCGCAGCCTCAACATGCTGGGCTCAGGTGATCTTTTTGCCTCAGCCTTCCAAGTAGCAGGAACTATAGGCACACACCACCATACCTGGCTAATTTTTTTAAAGTTATTGTAGAGATGAATTATTGTAGAGATGCTGTCTTGCCAAGTTGCCCGGGCTGGTCTCGAACCTGTGGGCTCAGGCAAGACACCTCTGCCTCCCAAATGCTGGTATTGTAGGTGTGCACCACTGCGCCCAGCCTTGTGGGTTCTTTTAAATGTAAGATATGATTGTACCAACTTAGGCTTCCATATGTGGAAGGATTGCCTTCCATTGCACTTTCTCACTGTCTTTGTTAATAGTACCATTGTGGTTTTTTTTGTCTTATCTATTCTAATCTTTCATCTTTAATGTGAAGTCAATCACTAGATTTTATTGGGTTTTCTTCCCAAACCTCTCATGAATAATACTAATAGCTAAAGGACGATATAAAAGGTAACTAAAGCATGAAAGTTTTAATTTATGGATTAAAGTTAAGGCTGAATGACATCAGGATTTGGAGTTGAAACTTAGATCCAATCCTTTTCCCTTTACTGCTATCTGAGGCTTTTCCCTCAACTATAAAGTGAGAACCTCATATTAAACAACCTTACTGGGTTGTTTAGTTAAATTAACTAATATCCATAGAGTACTTAGCAGTGTTTCTGTTAATGTAAGCACTAAGTACTTAGTACAGAGTAGTTGTTGCCAATTTAAATAATGATAAATACAAGCATTTGTATAACTTTTCTTTTTTAATTTATGAAACACTTGCAGCTAAATTTTCTCATTTGATATTCACAAAGACTCTGAGAGGCTGAGAGTATCTCCATCTTAGATACAGGGACATCAAAGAACAGAGAGATGGGAACACTTCCTTAAGTGCAATTACCTAGAGGTTGCTCCAATAGGGGTGGATGTCCAGTCACTGGAAGTTCTAGTAAGGCTACCCTGCTACCTATCATGATAGATGTACCAGAGATCCTAGCTTTTGATAGGCTGAGTGACCTAGGAGATATCTGAGGTCCTCTACTTGTTCATTTATTCACACCTACAACAAATATTTATTGATCTCTTATCAGAAATAGTTCAAGGATTTGGGAATACAGCATAAACAAGCAAGCAAAAATAACAGACAGAGGTTTTGCCTCTGCCTAGAAATATACATATATAAATATTATTTATATAATATATATTATAGAAAAGAAAAATTATCTATGAAGATACACAGCCTGATTTTTAGTGGTTTTTTTTTCAGAGACATTTCATCCGAGTACCTATTAAATCCTCCCCCTCCTTTCCAGCTCTCTCCCCAAAATCAAAGTAGCAGGAACGGGAAAATTATGTTTTCGTCTGGGTGCCACGCCCCTCAAAGGGCGAGGTTTGTTCCAAGTTCGAAATCCAGAGAAGCGGGCAAGACCTTGGAAGTTTAAGGCGGTGGAAGGAGAGACTGCGGAACTAGTGTTCCGGTAGTTGTGGATCCCGGCGGGAAGTCAATTCTGGGAACCGGTAGTGGTAAACCCTTGCGCTGCTTCCGGCCACCTCAGCGGGAAGTGGAGACGCAGGCAGCGGGGTCTCCGGGAACTGGGTTGGAGGTAGAGTTGCTGTCCCGGCGGAGCCAGCGAGGACGACGCCAAAGGCCTTCCGGGCCGGTGCCGGGTCCAAGTAGCCTGTGAAGATGGTGCTGCTGACGATGATCGCCCGCGTGGCGGACGGGCTCCCGCTGGCCGCCTCGATGCAGGAGGACGAACAGGTGAGCCACGACGAGACCCCCGCGACCCCCAGTCCCTGCCCGCGCGCTTTGCTTTCGCACCGGCTTCCTTCCTGGGACGCGGGAGACCTCTGGGACCTTCCAGGCGCTCCCGACCTCTGTGAAGTGCTTTTTTTTTTAAATCTCGTGAGAGGAAATCTTTTGTGAAGGTGGAGTTAGATGTTTGTGTTACCTGTTTCTCTTTAGAAAAACGCTCTAGTGAAGCGATAGGTCTGGCTGAGTGGAATCACCCAGTGTTCTTGGACGCTTCAGAGACTTGGCTAGAATGCCGGACTTCTGATGAATAAGGCTGATGACCGACAGATCCTGAGAAGGGTCCGCTCCCAAGTTCCTCGGCTGTTAGAGTAACGCCTGATCCTTGACCTAGCTTGCTGACTGCTTTTGAAAGTGGGGGAGGTAATATTGCCACATAAAAGCTCCTGTTAAAGTTCAGTTCCGTACATTCTTTGAGACTATGCCCAATTCCCACCTTCTCCATTAAGCCTTGCCAAATTCCTGCAATGCATCGTACCTAATTTTATAATTTTTCCTTGTTTTTCAATAAATTGAGTTTCCTAGCAGGCAAGCGACAGGTCTTCATTATCTGTGTTTATCTGTAACTTTTAAAACAGCAGCTGTATGCTACTGTATGCTCTAAAACATATTTGATTGATTTTTTTAAAACTCCAGATATCATAAAAGAAAGCTGCTTTGTGTGTTAGAATCACAGTAGAAATTTCTGGTGTGAGACAAGTTTCTGGAGCAAGCTTGGGAGGTCCCTGAAGACAGAAGGCTGAGAACAGAATTTATGTGATTTATTTAAAGTGATCGATTTTGTTTTACTTTCTATACTGTCTAAGCACGTAATTTTTAAAACCTCGAGGCTTAAAGATGGTGAGATCTAGAAAAAAATATTTTGCACATTTCTCCCCTTGGACTTTTCATTCATGTAGTCATCCAAAAAATCCTATTAGCATATCAAAGGTGCCAGTCATGGTGTTAATGCAGGGGGTTAGTGGGCACAGTCTCTACCTTCATGGAGCTTACAGTCTACTAGAAAAATCAGATGACTATCCAACAATTCTAATGTAGTACAACTGCCATGGAGAAGCAATCGTGTTCTGTGGTTGAGCATGGAAAAGATATCTAAGTTGGTTTGGTGAGATCAGGAAAGTCTTCCCAGGAGAGATGACATCTAAGCTGACAGTAGGGTCTAGTAGTAAGGAGCTCCTATATTTGGTTATATTCCTTTTTTGATTTGGAAATGTGTTTACTTTCACCTTTAGGAGAGTAGTGATACAGACAATAAAGGTGTAGGTCATGCTAAGTAAAATATATTCTGTTCATTTCACAAAACAAAGTCTAACCATTGAAATTTTGAGAAATATAACAGACTCTGAATTTTCAATTGTGAAATGTTTTTCACTTCTCCAAGTTGTTAAGAATTTTCTAGGACCACTCTGAAGAAGGAGTGTAATTGTTCAAATGAGCCCAGAAGGTGATTTGAACAAGGGAGATGGTGTGGGAAATGTCCTTGAAGGATGTGAGTTTGGCTGAGAAGTCGTCTTCCACAGTGAGGGGTGGTGGGTTGGGGGTAGAGAGGTCAGTTTTTCAACAATTGCATTGAATTGCAAGGTGGGCAAAGAGTAAAAAGTGGATTTGAAAGTCTACTTAATATTAGTGGGCTCCTACTCTCTGCTTTGATACTTGATTGAAAACTAATTGCTTTAATATTGTTTGTTTCTTCATTCTAAATCTGATTTGGTATTGGTCTACCAAGATGGATCGCTTTGTTTAATTGACAAAGAAAGAAATTGACACAAAAAATACTTTTGTAACCATAATGCCATAGTGTTTCCATTTAGGAATTTTGACTTCGAATAATAAAGTTTTTCCTAAACTTTTAATGTCTGCAAAAATATGAATCTAGACATATTTTTACTATTACAATAATACACAGAGCATTTGTAAAAGTGTCTACTACATGTCAAACATGGTGCTGAGCCTGTTAAGTTCATTCATTCCTCATACCAGCCGTATTAGAATAAGTACTCTTATTATCCCCGTGTATAAATAAGGAAGCGCTGAGGCTTACAGATAGGTCACTTGGCCTAAAGTCACAGCCAGTAAGTGGCATCATGGAACTTTTCATCAGGATTCTTCACCTTGGCACTGTTGGCATTTTGGAACGGACAGTTCTTTGGTGTGGGAGACTGTCCTGTGCGTTGAAGAATGTCTAGCAACATCCTGGCCTCCAACCCTGTCTTTAGATGCCAGTAGCACCACCACTGCCCCTGCTTTGTTGTGACAACAAAAAATATTTCCAGATATTGTTAAGTGTCCCCAGGGGGCAAAGTTACCCCTGACTGAGACCCACTTGGTTTTGTTTTGTTTTTTGAGGTGAGGTCTTACTCTGTCACCCAGGCTTGAGTGCAGTGGCACAACCATTGCTCACCACAGCTTCAACCTGCTGTACTCAGTCGATACTTCTGCCTCAGCCTCCTGAGAAGCTAGAACTACAGGCGTGTGCCACCACGCCACCTAATTTTTTTTTTTTTGAGTTGGAGTCTCACTCTGTCGCCCAGACTGGAGTGCAATGGCCGCTCCCGGCCACCGCAGCCTCGACCTGCTGGGCTCTGGCGATCCTTCCGCCTCAGCCTTCCAAGTAGCTGGAACTACAGGCGTGCGCTACCACGCCCGGCTGATTTTTGATTTATTGTAGAGATGAGGTCTCACCAAGTTGCTCAGGCGGGTCTCGAACCCGCGGGCTCAGGCAATCCACTCACCTCAGCCTCCCAAAGGCACAGGATTACAGACTGAGCCACCGAGCCCGGCTCTAAGACTTTTTAATGATATCTTTACTTCCTGGGATAACTTTCAGAAATGGACATCTGAACCAAATAGTTTTATATTTAAGCTCCTTAATTGTCCAGGCCAAATAATTCATTGTACTTTCAATTATTTATACTGATAATAATATCATATTTTAGGTATTTTCTAGGTGCCAGTCCCTGAACAAGTTGCCTTATTACTGAGGATGAACAGTTTAGATAATACAGTAGAGAATAAAATTTGTGAAATAATTTAGACAGAGTATTTTATACAGTGTTTCTTTTGTGCTTAACTAGAAATTTAGAACTAGGGCAGATAGAGAGATGAGTTTTTCTCCTGAAACCTAGACTTCCTAACTAATATGCTATTTATTTCCTTGTTTTCCTTCCTTTATGGTGTGTTTCTCCTTTTAGGATGTTTGCAATTTCTTCATCCACCTATCTGTTCTACCTTAAAATTGTTGCACTGTATTGTCTTCTCTTTCGTTTTGTCCCAGCATTGAGGCGGGCAGTCTAGACTTGAAGAAGGTGCCAGGATCTAACCAAGTAAACCGCAGGGAGCTCCAAGAAAGCAGATAACTGGTATAGTTAAACTCTCTCACCCTCCCAGTTATTGGGGGTTGATTAATCCACTTGCTGTAATTGCTTTTAGAGGAAAATGGTTGGTTCTTGGTGCTGCTGACCTTTGACCAGAGAGTTCAGCAGGGATTTAAAATTGATAAAGAACTTAGATAAAGGCAAGATATGATATTCTGAACTATATTTATTGTGAACTAGTTGTTCAGCAGTCCTGGGTGATAGCAGTGGGAAATATGGTTGTGTGGCAAATGGTAAACCGTACTTTTTGTAATATATAGAGCCAGGTCCTAAATATGCTATCAGATAGCCTCAAATTTTTTTTTAGTTTGTCCAGTTATTCTGATCCACTGCATTATTAGATTACTAACAGATGGCATTATACCGTATGCATATTTAATTAATCTGTTCCAGATGAAGTAGAAAGCAGTGAGGACATCTAAATAGTTTTAGGGGGACTGGCCAGCTGTGGGCCCTCTGGACTTTGGATCTTTGAAAGCAAACTAAAGGTCAGTCTGTAAAGCAGTGCTTGTGTTGTTTTGTGAGATATAGATTAAGCTGCCACATGATCTCTTTGGCATTTCTGATGAATTAGGTTTAGTATTAAATAGTAATACATCACCCAAAAGGTAGATCTACTAGTGAAGCAATTTCAGTTATAGGGGTGGTATAGCAGCATGCTACGGAGCAGGGGCTCCAGCGCCAGGTTGCCAGAGTTCAAATCCTAGTCTCACCTCTGTGAGCCTGGAGTCCCTAGGCAAGTTTGACTACCCAGATAAAGAATTGGCTTAGTTCCTGTAATCACCTCATAGAGTAATTGTGAAGATTAAGTGGGTTAAATTCTCTGAAGGGTGTGTAACAGTACTTGGCAGAACTTGAACACTTCATAATTTCATTTGACCATTTCTAAAGAATCTTTTCTAATTTCATCTTGCCTTTCTTAAAGGTACACAGGCCAGAATTGCACTTCATAAATACTGTGGGTGCAAATATGTAACACACAGAATGAATGATTTTTCCCATTTCAAAATCAATCCATACTTATTATAAAAAGTTCAGTAAATACATACAAGAAAATGACCAAAATGTAAATAGTGATTATTGCCTGTATCTCTATGCAAATTATATCCATCGTGATGGATGACCTTAAACATGTGTGTGTGTATAAGATTAAATTAAATATTGTAAAACTGTTCTACCTAATATTTTCCATATAACTGTGTAATGAATATTTTCTCATATTGTTAAATATTATACAACATTATTTTAATGGCTGCATAGTGTTTCATTATGTGAGTATATCAGAAGGATGATTATTTAGCCAAAATTATTATGCCAGCATTGTGTTCTCGGGAATGGTAATGCTGACTGAACCAGCACTGTAAAATGTTGATCGGCATACTATGATCCTTATGCATCCGCGTCCCCAGTGTTGAATGTTAACAGTCTTTGCTTTGTTGTTTGCAGATTCTTGAAGTTGTAGCCTGCTTTTGGCCATAGTTTTTGTAGTTAATACAGCTGTTAGTCTTTTCCTTTCAGATTTCAGAAATGTTTATTACCTCTTACACGTCAAAGGGTTTATACCAGTCTTTATCTGACAGACAATTTTTTGCCATCCTTTTCTTCAGTTAGTCAGTTTAAGGTACTCACCTGCTTTAGCAAATAACTATTTTAGCATCTGTAATTGTAATTATTTTTGAAATACCAGTGCTAGATGCTGATTTAATTGGTTTGGAGTGGAGACTGGGTATGATTCGTTTTTTCTTTAATTCCCAAGTGATTCTAGTGTGATGACAAGGTTGAAAATCATTGATCTGTGTTAATATTCTTTCTTGGCACTTTAGTAGTACTTTTAGCATTATTTGCATCCCCTTTATCTACTCTTGTGGGTTCAGATCTCCTCAGAATGCCACATAAATGCACTAGTGAGACAAAAAGACTGGTAAATACCATTCACATATAGGAAATTAGGATATTGTGCACTAGTTCTTATTGGCTGAAGCCGTATCACATGAGCAGCAATCTATTAAATCACCATGCTAAACAAGATAAATCTACAAACTAATCTTCGAGTAGATTACGCCTCAGCCCTCCGGTCCACCTCATGCTTAGTCTCCTCCTTATTTGTATTGAAATAGTCAGGTCACCGTTTTGAGTATCGCTTAGACTCGTATTACCCTATACTTGCACATTTGCTGATCTGCCACTTTATCATCTTATCATGGCTTCCTTGTTTTTACTATTAGCCCAGTGGTACACTATCTGAAATTTTAAGATACCATTTTGTGCTTTCTCAAAGTTAGACCTCAGACACAGACCTTGGGGAATACTGGTGTAATCACTTTTCCATTTAAACATGTAGTTAGTAAACATCTGCCAAGGGGAGACTGTTCTATAGTTTCTTCCTATCACATGGTAGTGTGTTTGGGCTGTTATAACAAAATATGATAGACTGGGTGGCATATAAACAACAGAAATTTATCTCTTCAATTCTGAAGGATGAGAAGGCCAAGATCAAGGTGCCAGCAGGTTTGCTTACTAATGAGGGTCAGCTTCTGGTTCATGGATGGCATCTTCTAGCCGTGTCCACACATGATGGAAAGGGCATGCTAGCCCTCTGGTCTCTTTTATAAGGTACTGACCCCAATTAGGACAGCTGCGCCCTCATGACTTAATCACCTCTTGAGGGTCTCACTTCCTACCTGAAAGTCTGCCCCTCCTAGTATGTGGATGAGTTAAACGATGTCTGTTTGCTTCCCACTCATGCACTTCCTCTTTGGATTTAGTGGGTTAGTGAGGTATGGGTTTCTTCTTTTGAGATGAGACTGCTGTCTCTCCTAGTAGGTCCCCCTCCCTTTTAAAAATTGCAACAGCATTTAGAGATTGTTCAGGAAAATGTTACCTGTATCGAATGTTATTCTTTCCATTTTGTTTGCATATGTCTCTCAATATTCAAACTCTTGCTATCCAAACTCAGGAACCAAATAGACGTCTGCAATAAAGGATATTTGACTTATCAATCTTTTAAAAAATTTTTTATTTTAAAGATGGGAGGTACAGTTCAGGGTTAGGTATACAAATGTTCATTATGCAGGTACCCTTGTTGATGAGGTGTGCCTCCCCCTCCCCTGGCAATTTCCCACTGCTGCCAATCCCATCCCCCACTCCCCTGGTACTACCCCTGCTTAGTATTAATACTATAGTATTATGATAATTGTTCAAGGTATGAGTGAGAACATGTGGTACTCAGTTCTTTGTTTCTGTGGTAGATCACTCAGTATTATAGACTCTATGGACTTTCCAATCTTTCTGTCTACTTTTCCTCCTTTTTGCCTAATTATAGCCATAGTGTTCATAATTATTTGCAGTCATGGGTATACACATTTAGTTCTGCTTGGATGCTCAATAATGTAACACTTTATGGAAGATTTTGCTTGATATTCCAACATAAAAATGAGGTCAATCAGTCTGTTCCTGGGATTTTCCCCTGAGTACAGCACACGCTGTGTAGTTCTGTGCCAATAATTGTACGAGTGAAATAGGTTAGGAGGAGACTATTGCACTAATAGTGGAAAGAATACTGGATTGAAAGTTCAGGGTGCCTTAAGTATAGTTGAGGTATTCATTTTTGCTTCTTAGCAAATGACGAATGTGATCTTCTGAAAGATCTTAGGTCTTCCTTTATGTTCTGAAAGTAGGTCCTCTTTCTTTTGTTAAAATGAATATTTATCTGTAAATGAAAGACCTAACTCACTGGTTTTTTTTAATATCGTGATGCTTCTCACTGATTGATACAGCTTTTTTTGTGGAAAATTCTTAAGTGAAAAATGTCTTCTTTCAGTCTGGCCGGGACCTCCAACAGTACCAGAGTCAGGCTAAGCAACTCTTTAGGAAGTTGAATGAACAGTCTCCTACCAGGTGTACCTTGGAAGCAGGAGCAATGACTTTTCAGTAAGTATAATCCTGATTCTTTATGATCATTGAAGTATGAAGTACCTGATAAGAATGGTAACAATTTTGCTGTTGAGTTGAATTTTGCTGTATATTCTAGATATTAGTCCCTTGTTAGGTGAATAAATCTAGATCCCTATCTCACCATATACAAAATTTTACTCAGATTGGATTAAAGACTTAAATGTAAGACCTTACGCTGTAAAACTACTAGAAGAAAACATAGGGAAAATGCTTCAGGACATTGGTCTAGGCAAATATTTTACAGCTAAGACTTCAAAAACACAGGCAACAAAAATGAAAATAGACACATGGGACTATCTTTGACTAAAAAGTTTCTGCACAGCAAAGGAAACAACATAAAATGGAGAAACTATTTGCAAATTCCTACTTTAAGTAAAGAACCTCTGATTTTATATGCTATACATACTGGTTTTCTAGATATAAGTTCTGCTGAAATAAAAGTACTATGGCTAAAAAAAGTTTGAAAACCACTTAGTAGCCTAACCTTTTTCTAAGAATATCTCAGACATTACAGTCATGTTGGCCCTTCCAGAGTGTCAGGAAGCTTATTATCACTAAAGGAAGTCAGTTCTGTTGTTGGATAGTTTCCAATTGATTGCAAAGTTCTGGCCTGGAAATTAAAGCATGTTATTAATCCTGAGAATACTGTTTTCTGTACCCAGGAAATTATGGCATTTGCAACCAACTTTTAGGTATCTACAGATATTTCCAGTTCTACTGTTTTTCTTTGTGGCTGGTAGTAGTTTAAATATGTATATATGAGTTTATCATGCAGAACCAAAGGATAGATAGAGTTATAGCTCCAACTTTTTCAAGAAAAGGTTTTAGATATGAAGATATGTTAGTTGAAGAATTGTATAATGAACAGTTATAATAAATATGTCCAGATACTCTTTTTGGACTATGCTTCTAATAATAGGAAAATCTTTGCATTCTGATTGTTAGGATTTGTGGTTTGAAATTGACTTTCTGATTTAGCCAGCTTCAGAGGGTTTATGCTAGATATTTTCAAAAGTTTCTGTGATGCTCAGATTTTGCTTCAACCTGTTGGAGGTACTGTTACTTTAGAAACAGCTTTGTGTTGCTTTTTTGTCTCTCCAGCTACATTATTGAGCAGGGGGTGTGTTACTTGGTTTTGTGTGAAGCTGCCTTTCCTAAGAAGTTGGCTTTTGCCTACCTAGAAGATTTGCACTCAGAATTTGATGAACAGCATGGGAAGAAAGTGCCCACTGTGTCTAGACCCTATTCCTTTATTGAGTTTGGTAAGTTTTTACCCCTCTTCTCTATCAAGGGAGAAAGCAATATGGAGAAGCTATTTGTGACGCTGATATAATATTGACACATTTTTTCCTGTTGTTTCCTTACTGAAATTTTGGCTTCTGTTTCCTCTTCCATTCTGCCTCTTTTTTTCTTTTGAATGAATGAGACTGCCTTCTGATAAGAAATCTTCTCTAGTCTTTTCATTTTTCCCTCATAGAGCTTGTTGCCTTTTGCCCTTTTCCTCCACTTGGTTTGATTCTTCATTGAGGTCATCTGTGACAGGAACTGTGCCTAAAGATCTACTTGGTTGGCAATAATAATAGCTGAGTTCCTCTTTCCCCAGTCCATAGACACTCATAGTAAGGCTCATTTTACAGGGATCATAATTCGGAAATCAGAAAGAATGGTATTTTGTTTCTTTTAGTAGAATAAGATGCTCTGAATGAGAAAAAAAATAGAAGTTCTATGATACTGATGGTATTGAGGTGAGCATGGGTATATTTGTATAAGAATTATGGAAAGACAATAATCATCAGTCAGACCTGTCGAAGTATCTGATGGCAGTGGATCAAAGGAAATATCCTAAGTACAATAAGCACAGAGAATAAGAACAAGTGGCCGGGCACAGTGGCTCAAGTCTGTAATCCCAGCACTTTGGGAGTCCGAGGTGAGAGGATTGCCTGAGCTCAGGGGTTCGAGACCAACCTGAGCAACTTGGTGAGACCTTGTCTCTACAATATATCAAAAAATTAGCCAGGCGTAGAAGCACACACCTGTAGTTCTGGCTACTTGGAAAGCTGAGGCGGAAGGATTAACTGAGCCTAGCAGGTCGATGCTGGGGTGGCCATGAGCATGCCACTGCACTCCAGCCTGAGTGACAGAGTGAGACTCTGACTCACAAAAAAAAAAAGAATGAGAGCAAGTAGGATCAGAAATTAGTTTACTGACTCAGAATTTCTGAAGTGTTTCAAGTTTGCTAGATAAGTGGTCATCTTGTTTTTTAGAAAGAGAGAAAATTTGGCAAAACACTCTAGTGTTTCATAACTACACACTTTCCAAGTGCTACCTTTGTTTTTTTTTTATTTATTTTTTAAGTGCTACTTTTATAATGTTCAGTTTTTCTCTTTTTTTGAGTTAGAGTCTTACTCCGTCGCCCAGGCTGAAGTGCAGTAGCACACTCACGGCCACCCCAGAGTTGACCTGCTGGGCTTCAGCAGTCCTTCTGCCTCAGCCTTCCAAGTAGCCGGAACTACAGGCATGCGCTACTGTTTCCGGCTAATTTTTTAATTTATTGTAGAAGACACGGTGTCACCATGTTGCCCAGGCTGGCCTCGAACCTCTGGGCTTAGGCAGTCCTCTCGCCTCGACTCCCCAAAGTGCTGGGATTACAGACTTGAGCCACTACGCCCAGCCCAGTTTTTCAAATTTTATTTTTATAGATAGTAACAGTCCAGTAAGCCCAAGAGAAAAATAAGACAAATGTATTAGTGTTACACAGGAAATAGGTGGTACACTCAAATTAACTTAAGGGATTATATACAAAGGTATGTAGGGGAATTATAAGGTACAGTAACTTGGGGCCAGTCACATAGTAGTTTTGGGGTTTTTTTTGTTTTTTTGTTTTTTTTTGAGTTGGAGTCTCACTCTGTCGCCCAGACTGGAGTGCAGTGGCCGCTCCCGGCCACCGCAGCCTCGACTCACTGGGCTCTGGCGATCCTTCCGCCTCAGCCTTCCGAGTAGCCGGAATTACAGGCACGCGCTACCATACCTGGCTGATTTTTTTTTTTTTATTGTAGAGATGAGGTCTCGCTGCCCAGGCGGGTCTCGAACCTGCGGGCTCAGGCCACACACTAGTTTTAATATCTCTAGGCCTGAAGGTATTAGAGGAAGGAACAGTTTCTGGAACTGAAAGGGAGAAAATTTATACAGAAGGCCAACTTGAGAGGAGCAGTAACTTTTGGAAGAGGGATGCTGCCAGCTCAGGGTGACTTCTTAGGAAGAAGCCAGGGGAATTAATACCTGAGATCACTGTCTGCTCTCCTCTTCCCACTGTTGGTGCTTCATCACTTCCTGAGACTAACTGGAAGCCATAGGGCAAGGATGCTCTTGATGGGCTTTGTAGAGGTCAACTTCCCAGGGCAGAAAGCAAGGTGCAGGAAGGCAGAGAGGTGATCTCAAGAGGCAAATGGAAGGTTCCAGCAGACACAACTTAAGATTTTTGCCAAAAGTTGAAAATATCTTTAATAATAATTTGTTCTTCTTATAGATTTGAGAGATACAGATATAGGCTAAGGAAGGATGAGATGGCAATTTGATGTTGGTACTTTGGAAAACTCCCTGTTACATGTTTGTTCAACCTGAGGTTTAAGAATTGGATGAAATTGGGGATTTATATTAAAGAAAATTCTTTAAGGCAATGTTTCTCAACTTTTTAATGATTATTAACTCTTTTGTCATATTAGGCTATAATTATGCTAGAGCAGAGGTCCCCAATCCCCAGGCCAGGACCCGTACCCATCTGTGGCCTGTTAGGAACCCGGCCACACAGCAGGAGGGGAGCGTTGAGTGAACGAAGCTTCATCTCTATTTATAGCTGCTCCCCGTTGCTTGCATTGCCACCTGGCCTCTGTCTCCTGTCAGATCAGCACTCATTAGATTCTCATAGGAGCACAAACCCTACTGTGAAGTGCACATGCAAGGGGTCTAGGCTGCATGATCCTTAAGGTAAATTAATGTGTGATGATCTGAGCTGGACCTGAGACAGTGATGCTAGTACTGGGGAGTGGCTGCAAATACAGGTAAACATTGAGATCTGACTGCTCATTTGTTCCTCCACCCCACCCCCTGCCCCTTCGTCTGTGGAAAAATTGTCTTCCACAAAACCGCCCCTGATGCCAAACACGTTGAGGACTGCTGTGCTAGAGTACTGCCAGTATCCTTTTAGGGTATCTGTAGAGTTAAGTAATCAAACCCTAAGGGTCCTCAGAGTACAGTATGAAAAATTTATGCTTTCAGGAAAGGCTGCAGTGGTGGGTCTTAATTTCTTTAAGGCTTCTTATAACTTCTTGTAATTCCAAGGTGTCCAAAGAACGTTTCTCCTGAATGGTCATCTAGTTATAGCTTACATTTTCCAAATGAAATGATTAAAGCTCACATTTTGATACTCATGAGCTTAGTTAACCATGGGCAGAGGCAAATTCAGGAATAAACTCAGAACTTTCAGTTCCCTACTTTAGTACTTTGGACCTGAAAGAAGTTGTTAACTGTCACTTTTCATCATTCTAGATACCTTCATTCAGAAAACCAAGAAGCTCTACATTGACAGTCGTGCTCGGAGAAACCTGGGCTCTATCAACACTGAATTGCAAGATGTGCAGAGGATCATGGTGGCCAATATTGAAGAAGTGTTACAACGGGGAGAAGCACTCTCAGGTATCTGAAAGCAACAAGCATCCTTGGGAAGATACAATTCTTGTTCCATAGGCAAGAAGAGCTTGTTTTGCAGCTTATTTTGCATAAAAATGCTGTCAGATTCTACCTAGTACTGTTAAGAATTAATTTCTTAAAGTAGATTACATTATAATGCTTCCAATATGTTTTTTCCTCGCTTGATTAGTTTTTGTTGAGTTAGAACAATATAAAGGACTTATCCATATTAGAAGCAATTACTATTACATTTGCAAATAAGTAAATCATATACAGAAACACTTGTACAAATTAAAGAAAATGGAAACAAGCATGAGAGGAGATTATCATAGATTTATTGCAATGGTTTCCTGAATATACTCTTTGGGAGAGTTTACTGCTACCGAATCCATCTTTATAAAATGCCATTTTCATCAAAACATTCTTCTCTGAAAAACTTTTAAATCTGGGATGACAAGATAAGATCTAATCTGCTTTCAACTTACTTTCATTCATTTAGTCATTGTCATTCAGTGCTTGTTATATGTAAGGCTTTGTGTTCTTTTTATGTAAAATAAGGCGATAGCAATCATCTGTCATTCTCTCTTGTTCTCAAACATTCTGCTGCAGCCAGGTCAGCTTCTTCACCATCCTTAAATATGAGGGGGGACCCAAAAAACCCAGAGTTTATTTATAAAAATTTGGGTATTCTTACACTTTTAAGCTTCAGTCACCTTCAAAGTACTCTCTGATGCAACACACCTATTGAGATGCTTTTTCCTCTGCTTAAGACAGTATTTGAACTCATCAATTTTGATGCCTTTTGTGCTTCTGTCATTTTTTGTTTCACCTCTTCCACATTGGCAAAACATTTCCCTTGGGGGACTTTTTTCATCTGGGGAAATGAATAAAAGTTGCTTGGGGAGGGACCAGGTGAATAGGGAGGGTGTGGCATGGGGATCATACTGTTTTTGGTCAAAAACTGCTGAGTACTCTGGGTAGTGTGGGCAGGTGTGCTAGTAAATCACCCACTATGAAATGAGCAAATGTGTTGAAAGAATTTCCAAAAAAAATTCACTGAAACTGAATGTAGCCTTAGACAGCAATGCTAACTGGTACACTGATGCCGATGGACTCCTAGAACACCTATCTAGCAGGGGAAGCCTGCACTACAAGAGACCACCCTCCAAAAGATAATTTTTTTTTTTTTTTTTTTTGAGTTGGAGTCTCACACTTGCCCAGACGAATGCAGTGGCCGCTCCTGGCCACCGCAGCCTCGACCTGCTGGGCTCCAGCAATCCTTCTGCCTCAGCCTTCCAAGTAGCTGGAACTACAGGTGTGCGCTACCACACCCAGCTAATTTTTTGATTTATTGTAGAAATGAGGTCTCACCAAGTTGCCCAGGCGGGTCTCGAATCCGTGGGCTCAGACAATCCACTCACCTCGGCCTCCCAAAGCGCGGGATTACAGGCTGAGCCCCGCCTTTTTTGTTGTTTTTTTTAGGTCCCCCCTTATAGTCCATTTTCACCTCATGCTTGACCTGTTTTTTAAGACCTAGATAGGAACTGCCTCTTTGAAGAAGCCTTCCCTGATCCTTCTAGCCCATGTCACATTAATCTCTTCTTTAAACTCTTAAAGCACTTAGTTATATAAAGCACTTAGTTACATAATGTTTTAGCACAAATTATGTATATGTATGTTTACCTAATTTGCCTAAAATATATATTAAATGTATTTATATCTATAAATCTTGTATATATTTTACCTAAATATGTATAATATGTATTATATAAAAATATATTTACCTAATTTACCACATATAAGTATATCCTTAATATGTGTTTAACATATTTATACATAATATAAATTTATATTAAATATATATTTTATGTAAATACATACTTAAATATATTTAAGGTAAATTAGATAAATATATGTAAATTAGATATTTTAATGTAATTTTTAAATTGTAGATAATTAGGCAAAATCAGGTTAAAATTACTTGACTACTTATATTTAAATGCTACCTAAGTGTTTAATGTGGGCACATAAGCTTCTTATAGGTATTATTTGTATGTTTTATACCTGTTTCACCTACTTCTTTTATATCCCTCACAGTAATGAACATAGATAGATTCCCAAATACATATTTCTTGAATTCAGTCTTGCTACATGAATAGTAAATAAATTTTAGTAAATAAATTTTAGTATATAAATTTTAGTAAATAAATTTTCCTTTGTTATGAGCTGTGAAGTTTAACTTTTTGTTATACTCTGCAGTTATCCAGCATTTAACTTCACATTCTTTAAATATCAGATTTTGAGTGAACGAGTCTATATAATAACAGACTTACAATTTCTAGGTAGGATAAAGTAACACAGGAATTTTTCTTAAATTCAAAATTTATATATTGTTGGTTTATCAACAGCATCAAGAATTCTCTTGTAAGTACTTTGTTGTTTGCTACAAATCTGATATGCTAAATGAAAAAGAAATACGTTTTTGCCCTTAGACAGCTTTGTATGGTTGGGAAAATAGAAACATTCTCACAGAATAATTAATGGAAATATAAAGGAACAAGCATCTTTTGAGCACTTAGTTCTAGGCGTTATGCTGAGGAGGGGCCATTACATGTATTTTATTTAATCTTTATTGTAATCTCATATGAAATGGGTGGTATCAGATTGATTTTACACGTGAGGAAGTAAAGATTAAAAAGTTACCTGGTTTACTGGTAATCACACTTCTAGTACCTGGCAGGATCTGTTGGCCTCCAGAACCCTTATACATTTTCAGTATATGATGGTTTTAAATGGATATATAGACAACAAGAACAACGTTACTAGGTATAGATATAACTATTCTTATAGAATAGATATAGAAGGAAGAATGTGAAGTGAACAAGAAAGATTGCCTGAATTTAGGTAAATCAGGAAGGAGTGAAGAGTGGTGTTTTAAGTGGAAGAAAAATCATATATGAACAGAGCATGTTTGAAGAACAGTAACGAGATTAGCCTACCCCACAGCTGCTTCTTTAAGTTTCTTTGTAAGAATCCAACTTGTGTACTTTCTTCTCTTTCTAATTTCATTAGTCTGTTTTGCATTTAAGACCCAAGAGTAATTCTGTGGGTTCTTTCTACACAATCAAATTAGGCTTCCTTTTTTTTTTAACTGCTTAAATATACCTATTCTTTTAAGCCATGTTTTTTGTTTTTCATTCAAAGATATCACTCCTGCAGGACTTTAAATCTCACAAAGGAAGGGATCATGTACCTTATGATCATTATTGTGTGCTCTACACTTTACATGGTGCCTGTAACATAAATATTTGCTAATTGACTTCTCCAAGCAGTGGTTTTGTCTTTCTGATATTGCGTGTTTCAAAATGTTTCTATATAGAAGAATTTGCTTAACTGTTATTTCATATGGTCTAATGTTCTTCTCAGATTTAGATTTAGGTTCATTCTAGCAAATGTTTATTGCGCACTGACTGTATGTCAGATCCTGTTCTGGTCACTCAGGGTATAGCAGTAAACACAATTGTTAAAGATCCTTGTCCAGTGGAGCGTATATTCTAGAAGACTGTCTAGAAAGAGTCTCTGAGCATTGTCACGATTTATTTCTCACCCCTTAACTGTTTCTTTCATGACTAGATGTTTTTCTTATTCATACGACCAGTTGCTAATTTAGACACGGCTGTCCTGCCTGTGTTATTAAGAATGCCACATTTCCCAATCAAAGTCATTCTCTATTAAGCAACTCTAAAAATTCCAAAAGCATTCTCTAAGGAAGAAACAAATTCAGATTACAAAATAGTTTTTCAAAAATTAAAGAAGTGAAAAGTTTGATTATAATTTATTATTTCAAATAGAGAGTTTGTATTAAATTCTGCCCTATATTTTAACCTGATCTAGTTTATGTCTATCTGGCTATTTCTAAGTGCTTAGTTAACTATTATAAGAAAGTGACAGACTGGGCTCAGGGGCTCAGCCTATAATCCCAGCACTTTGGGAGGCCGAGGCAAGTGGATTACCTGAGCCTGCGGGTTTGAGACCAGCCCAGGCAACTTGATGAGACCTCATCTCTACAATAAATAAAAAATTAGCTGGGCGTGGTAGCACATGCCTGTAGTTCTGGGTACTTGGAAGGCTGAGGCGGAAGGCTCGCTGGAGCCCAGCAGGTTGACCCCTGGGGTGGCCATGAGTGTGCCACTGCACTCCAGCCTGGGCGACGGAGTGAGACTCTGACTCAAAAAAAAAAAAAAAAAAGAAGAAGAAGAAGAAGATAACAGCATTACAGATGTCCGGGGGGAGGGAGAGGAACTTTTTAGAAAATGCTGAAAAGCTTAATTTACTAGATATTAGTGGTTATTGTATTTTAGTCATAATACAACTTTCCTATGTCCATTGAAATATAATTTCTGAAAGCTTTAACTGCACAATAACCTTTACTATGTGGAGAATCTTACAAGTTTTAACAGTCATCATTGAAATATAGCTTAAGACTATGTCTGGTTAACTGAATTTTCTTGGTTATCTGAATCTTGTTTTACCTGGATTATCATTTTTCAAAATAATGAGAGAATGTGATTTAGGCCGTTAAATGATTTTGAAGATGGTAATAATTATTAGCATACTGTATGCAGGCATTGTGCTCACTTTATAGGTAATCGCATGTACCTACAAGCTTATGATGTAATTACTATTATTTTTCCTATTTTATAGATGGAGAAACTGGGTTTTAGAGAGGTTAAGTGATTTGACCAATGTTGCATGACTGGTGCAGATGGTATCTAAACCAAGGAGTCTAAATAGTTTTTCAAAAATTTAAAGAAGTGAAAAGTTGGATTAGAATTTATTATGTCAAATAGAGAGTTTGTATTAAACTATGCCCTATATTTTAATCTGATACTTCTCCCAACCACCTTATTATGTAGCCTCAAAAATTTGAATATAGTTTGGTCTGATAATTTTTAGACTTTACAGTGTTTTAGGATCATAAGTTAATCAGTATATGCAACCTTACCCTTAAAAATGATCATTTGTTTGCTGCTCATTTTGGTTATTTTTATGCCTTAATGCTTTCGATAAAATACTTCCAGGGACTAATTCATGTTTTCTTTTTTCCTCTTTGACAGCTTTGGATTCAAAGGCTAACAATTTGTCCAGTCTGTCCAAGAAATACCGCCAGGATGCGAAGTACTTGAATATGCGTTCCACTTATGCCAAACTTGCAGCAGTAGCTGTATTTTTCATCATGTTAATAGTGTATGTGCGATTCTGGTGGCTGTGAAGTAGTGAATACAGTCACTGGTAAGGAATAACCTAGAACCAAGTAGGTGTGTGTTTTCAGGAAGGTGAGCTCACAGGGATGTGTATTAGACTCCAAGTGGAACTTCTGCCTCTAAAGACCTTGCAAGAAAAGACATGTCCTGAAAATGAAAAGTTACACCTCATTGAATGAAGCTTAATCCTATGTAGAAAGTCTCTTTTGGGGGCAGAGGCTTTCTCTGGGTGCTAAGCCATATATGTTAGGGAATAGTAGATTGTTTTATTTTGTTTTTTTCCCTCCCAGTACATTTGAAAAATAGCACTGATGGGAGCATTCTCATTCTCTAATGGAACCATCAATGAGATTCAGTTTAGCCAACCTGTGCTAGCAACATTCTGAAATTCCTTCAAAGAAGGCAGCCCTTTGGGAATTGTTTTTGACTCTGATCAACATTCCTTTTGTTGGTGACATTTATGATTTTCAGCAATCTGAGTTTTTGATGGCCTTTCAAAAAAGACTCCAGTACATGAAGGTTCATTGCTATGCTGCACAGATCTTGTCTGTTGGCCCCTGTAGAATGTTAATCTTCGTTGTTTTTCTGTATTTTGCTTATTGCACAATTGCTTTAGGGTTAAATGAATTATATTAAGATGCCTTGAAATTATAGCACTCCTTGATTAAGAAGCTAAAATGTTTGTCTCATTTATTCCTTAAACAAAAAACTTAAATTAGTTTGGGGCATTATTTTATTTTCAGCATTTGGTTTATATTCATGTAAGAGCACGTACAGCCTGCTTAATGAGAAGAAAGAGAGGCCCAGCTCACAATTACAGCTTTGTCCTGCCCCTTCCGCATTTTCTCTACTATGGTTTTCTCCACTGTTTGTTTTCCTCCTGCTACAATTGCTAACATTTAAAAAATTTTTCTGTGCCCAATAGTTTTGTGTCCCATAAACATACTCAGGATATTCTCAAATTTCAAAATGGAAAATGTTCATATGTGTAGTTAATTAAATTTAAAGTTTTGCAGTTCAACTACTCAAATTACTAAATACATTTATTTGAGAAAATCTGAGAACACTTCATTCCTGTTTTAGTTGATGTAAATTCTCTGAGAATGACTTAGAGATAGATAACTCACTTACAGCGGTTTCTATTTACTAAAGTATCTGTGATGTTTTCCTTTTTTGCTCAGGGATAATGGGGATTTCCTTTTACCTTTTGAGTTAGAATTTTTTAAGTGGAGAGACTAGGCCTTTTAAATATTATCACAAGGGTCCATAGTATAACCTAGAACTCCAGCTCATACTGCACATATTTCTTTAAATTGTACAGGAAAATGAGCCAACTTATTTCTTAACATCTTTTGAAAGAAATTTAATGAGTAAGTAATTTTATAACACTGAGGGATCATCAAAGATACTGTCCTGGCTAGGTAAGGTGGCTCACACCTTATAATCTCGACACTTTGGGAGGCTGAGGTAAGAGTATTGCCTGAGCTCACTTCCTGAGTTCACGGGTTCGAGACCAGCCCGGGCAATTTGGCAAGATCGCATCTCTACAGTAAATTAAAAAAAAAAAAAAAATTAGGCATGGTGGCGTGTGCCTATAGTTCTAGCTACTTGGAAGGTTGAGGTGGAAGGGTCATCTGAGTCCGGCGGGTCCAGGCTGCAGTGGCCATGATTGTGCCACTGCACTCCAACCTGGGCAACAGAGTGAGACTCTGACTCAAAAAAAAAAGATTCTGTCCTGATACCTGGTAGAGGAAAAAAAATCTTGTTTCCTTATTACAAGGCGAGGAGACATGCTTATTTTATTCCTGATAATTTACAGAACTAGAAGAAATTTTTTTTCTTTCTTATGAACCTAAATCTGCCAATTGGAGTTTTGTTCATGAAATATGAAGTTACTTTTTATAGAGAATAAGTGCTTTTAAGTCACTAAAAGTCTCCTCACTAAGTAATGATGTTGATAATAAAAGCCTTTGAAAGACTGAAAACCTAAGTAGTGGTACCATAGCATTTGGTGCTTCTGTAGGAGTGGAGAGTGGCAGCTCGTTGTTGAGAGTTGCATGCTGCAGTCTAATGGTCAACAGTAAAATAAATACTTCTAGAATGTTCACTTCAGTGTGAAGTTTGTTATCTAGTTAACTTACATACACATATTCTTTGTAGGTATAGTTCTATCTAATACTAGTGGGCTATTTAAAAAAAAAAGAAGTGGGGTGAATGATGGCTTAAGACCAGAGCAGCAGAAAACAGAGAGAATGGCTGTCATAATATAGCTCTTACTTCTTTATAGGAAGTAGTAGGAAGATCTGCCTAGATGAAATTTGTCAACACTCACACTGGCATCTAATTTAGAATGTGATACTGTATGGGGTTATTACAGGCATATTAAGAAAGGGCCCGGCTGGTGGCTTAGCCTGTAATCCTAGCACTTTGGGAAGCCGAGGCGAGTGGATTGCCTGAGCCCGCGGGTTAAAGACCAGCCTGGGCAACTTGGTGAGACCTCATCTCTACAATTAAAAAAAAAAATTAGCTGGGCGTGGTAGCGTGTGCCTGTAGTTCCAGCTACTTGGAAGGCTGAGACAGAAGGATCGCCGGAGTCCAGCAGCTCATCGCTGGGGTGGCCATGAGAGTACCACTGCACTCCAGCCAGGGAGACGGAGTGAGACTCCAACTTAAAAAAAAGGCCTCTAATTTATTTTGGGTAAGAGAAGACTTTGTAGAGAAGGAGAATGGAGCATTCTAGGCAGAGTCAAGAGCATGTGCAAAGGCATGCGTCAAGAGAGTGAGGCACATTTGGGAATGTAACACGTTCATTCACTCAACTCAGGATAAGCATAGGCAGCACAGGAGACACGGGGAAGGAAAACTAGGCTGGTACGCTGTCAAAAAGGGACGTGTCTACCATGCTAAGGAGTTGAGTAAGTAATGGCTATGGCGAAGAATGGCATCAGATTTATAGTTTCAGATGATCATTTTGGCCACAATGTAAAAGCCATAGTAGAGGGATAAACCTAGAAGTAGGGAGAGGAAACTAAGGAACCATCAAAGGCAGGATAGAACATGGACAAGTTTCAAGTGATTTTCGAGAAAAAAGTAACCAGAGGTACCAGGTAACATATAATGCCTTCTTTGTTAGGAGCTTATTTAATTCCCACTTAACAAGACTTTTTGAACTAAGTACTATTCGTACCATTACATGAATAAAGAAGCTTTACAAAGGATATTGCTCTGAAGCATGGAGGAGTTAGGTATTTTGCCCAAAGTTACAGAGCTAGAATGTGATGAAACTAAAATTTGAACCTAGGTAGTTTGACTCCAGCATCTGTGCTTTTAACTACTATACTACCACCAAGAGGTCAAGCAAAATAAGTACAAAAAATGTATTTTTGAATTTATCAACCAGGAATTTAATCATATGGGCAGGAGTAATTCCAGAGAACTGGGGACAGAATCCAGACTGCAGTGGGTTGAGGATTGTGTGAACCTCTAAGAAGTAAAAACAGAACTACTCTCACAAGTAGCTTTTCTGGTTATTGTGACACTGAACTTAATGGTATGTTCTAATTAAGACAGTTTGCTATGTAAAAATTTAGAAATATTTGGACATTATTCACGCTTCCGGTTATGTAAATATATAACACTGGTTTTTAAGCTTTTTGAGAACCCTTTGAAAATTGCATGAAAGGTATTTGCCTTTACCCCAAAGAACTGTTCGTGTGTACATCACACCAAGGATCACATACTGTTTCAGGCTGTCCAACGACTGCAAAGGCTGCTCATAACCTGCTGGACCATGGTCCCTCAAATATTTAAGAACTCCAGATATACAGGATGTGGAACTCAGAGGTAAGTACCCAGAAGCCTTGCAAACTGTCCAGCCATGGTGAATTGGAAGAATTCTACAGTTTGAACTACCTTAGTGGATGAGATGTATTCTTAAAAAATTGTGTACAAAAAAATTGGTATCATAATATTTTCCTGTGGTGCATTCAGGGATCTGGTTCACAGAAAAAAACCTTTTTTGGTCCCAGTTCCTTAAGATCATAAAGAGCTTAAAATTATTATTTTCTACTTTTATCATAAGTAAGAAGTCTTACAAAACCAAGTTAAGAAGGAAAATGGATAATCATTTCTACACACACAAGATTTAGTAAAACATGCATAATAAAATATCTCATAATGTAAATTTCCACCATATTGGGACTTTTCACAACGAAGGGTATGGATGTTGGTGGCCACACAACTAAGGCTTTTGGCTTAGTGTATTAGCAGAACTGGTGGCAGAGCTCCACCTGGTGGGTTTTTTCCTAGAAACCTCAGCAGCAAGGCAAACAAAAGTGGTTATATAGAAGTTAGTACTTCTATCGTTGCACATGAAGTCATCGAACCAAATACTTACACCGTAAAGGTCCCCACAGAAAATTTTCATCATGTGTGACACAGTTTGAGACTGGTTGAGTAAGTGTAATCTCACATCATATTATTTATTACTGTCAGGCAAAGTTGATCCAACAGTCTAAAACTATCTCAAGCAATTTAGTCGTGCAGTTCTAATAAAATTTATTTCGAGTGGTGTAACAACCCATGTTTTAGATTAGAAAAACCATTAGAAATTTGACTTCCATATAGTAATCTATACTTTTTTCTCATCATCTTCATTATTTTTAGGCACTCCATTATTTTAACTGGGCTGTTTCATAAGTCATGGATATACACAATTTGAATAAAAGAAAAAAAGGGGTAAAATGGTCTAGTAAGGAATAGGAAAACAAAGTATTACGCAGTTTACATACATTATTACAATTCTTAGAACCATTTTCTCTGCTTTCCTAGAAGTACTTAGATTCAACTGGACACCTAATCACTACTCAACAGTATTTGCTACTCCTAAATAATGATGTAGATATGTTTTAAACATTTCACTTTGTACTGTCAAGTTATTAGTATGCTTATTTTGAAAAGGCATTTTTTAAACAATTTTATGTCATTATTTCAGTCCATTTTTAATTTATCACTTCCCCCTTATTCTTTTTACATCGTTTTTGTCCTTGGTTTGTAATACATTTTTCCTTATTTTATTTGTTCCTTTACTGTGTTATTTGACCTCATTGTTAATTCAACAATTTTCTGCATCTGATTCACTAAAATTTTAGCTAAGTGGTTTCTTTAAAAAGTAATAAAATTTTCCTCTTTTAAAAAAAGTCCTTTGCCCATTCTTTTCTCTGACTCTCCTTTCTTTTATTTTTCTATTTTACTTTCTTTTTTGTTTCCCTAGATTCTGTTTTTTACTTACAAGTTAATGCAGTACTGCAACTTAGCTTCTGTAAATGAGAGTTTCAAAATCAATTCAGTCTTATCTTTGTTCCTTATTTGTGGCCTTATAAATTATCTTACCATTTACCGATTTTATAATATTCTATGCTCTCTCATTTTAGTCTGCACATATTAGTCAGCAAAAGTATGCCCCTGCCTTAAGAAATCCCCTTTATAAAAAATTTCAAACATTGCAAGAATTCTTCAAGAAGCAAGCTCATCTAGTTTGTCTTCTACATTTAGGGCTTCCACTATCACCTGTATTACTGGCAACTCCCAAATAGATCTGACTATCTTCAATCTTGTGTTCCTGGCCTAAATTTTTTGCTGCTTATTGGCTATCCGTTTTTTAATATCCCATAAATATTTAATTGCATCTAAACATCTTATTTCCTCCACCCCATTGCTCAAAGATCAAATATGTACTTCCTATTATATTTCCAACTGTTAGGTATCACCTGCCACCTCTTTACCTGAATTGCAAGTCATGAATTGTAATTGATTCCTCAGTTTTCCTCTCATCTCTAACTCAACTGTTAACCAGATATTTTCCATCCATTGCTTCCTTTCCATCCTTTTTGCCTTGGATTCAAACACTCATTAATCTTAACATGGACTGTTGCAGTAGGCTCTTTACTGATTTTCTTTAAAATGTTCCCCTTTCATCTCAGTACTTCCTTTCCATGGATAATAACTTTGTAAAGAGGTAATCATACTGCTTTTCCTATAGAATAAAAGATCCCACACTCCAGTACACTATCCACTATCTGGCCCCATTGTATCATTCCAGACTCATCTGCCGCTCCCCACCACCTGCATTTTGTTTCAGCCATATTAAGTAAATCTAGGCTTCTTTAACCAGTCAAGCACTTTCCTTGTGTCTTGGCTCATTCAGTGCTTTTTCTCCAGGATATTTTTGTAAGTACTTCTCCTATCTTTTTCCCTTATTAAACCTGCTGCTATGGCTTGCATGTGGTTTGGCCTCTCCAAAACTCATGTTGAAACTCAGTTGCAAATGTAATGGTGTTAGGGGGTGCCTTTAAGAGGTGATCGAGTTGTTGAGATGGATTAATGTCTTTTTCTGGAGACTGGGCTTATTCTCCTGGGAATAGTTTGCTCCGGGAGAGTGAGTTGTTACAAAGCAAGGTTGCTTTTCCTGATTTGCTCTTTTTGTATTCACCTGTGGCCCCCTTCCATTGCTCCCCCTTGTTCTGGGGCAGCAGGAGGCCGTCACCAGAAACCCGTCAAATGCAGCTTTCTGATCTTGATCTTCCCAGTCTGCAAAACTGTGAATTAAATAAACCCCTTTTCTGTATAGGTTACCCAGTCTCCGGGTTTCTGTTATAGCAACAGAATAGTTTAAGACCTGCTTAAGTTCTGCTCATCTTTCAAAGACCCAAGCTTAAGTTCTGCTCATCTTTCAAAGACCCAACTTCAGCATCTCATTTGTAAAGTCTTCCTGGCATTCTCACACCCTGCTTCCCACTGACCTGAGAGAAGTTATGTTTTCATCCTCCACAGCAACTTGTTCATTTTCTGAGTATAGACCTGCAGATGGCAATGTGTGTTTGTTTCCTTGGCTACATGCCTTGCAAGGTACCTGAGTTGGAGCCCAGTTGTTATTCATAAATCTTTTAAATCCTTAGCATTTGGTACAGTGGCCAACACATTGGAGATGCTCAACAAATATTTGCAGGATGAGTACATTGAATTACAAAAAATGTATGCACAAGTGTTTTGGAACTGGGCTGTTTGATAAGCCATGGATATACACAATTTAAATAAAAGAGGAGAACG